TTTGGTAAAAAGTGATATTTTCAACTTCTTGTTAAAAACTGCAAGTCCAATTGCTTTGATATTACATATATAGGTACTACATGTGGACCTCTCTCAGATTTGTCCATTTTGTAATGATATCTTTAATTTTCTAAATTTGGTGGATATTTTTGTCATTTTTGGTAAAAAGTGATACTTTCGACTTCTTGTTAAAAACCACAAGTCCAATTGCTTTGATATTACATTTATAGGTACTACATGTGGACCACTCTCAAATTTGTTCATTTCATAATGATATCTTTAATTTTCTAATTTTGGTGAATATTTTTGTCATTTTTGGTAAAAAGTGATATTTTCAACTTCTTGTTAGAAACCACAATCATTTATGGTCAAAAATGATATTTTTGAATTCTTGTTGAAAACAGCAAGTCCCATTGCATTGATACTATGCATATTGTTCATTTTCTAATGATATCTTCTGTTCTTTAATCGAAATGTGCATTGCTAACAGCGGAGCTATCTCAGCCGATAGGCTGCTTGTTATTAGAGGACGCTTACGCGCCTAATCATTCCATATTTGGAATTCGCATTTCCTAATATGGTAGGATGAAAATACCCCGTAAAATACCACAAAATTACGGCACGCTGTAACTAATGGCATTATGGTGACAGATGTATAATAATAATAATAATAATAATAATACACTTGTGGGCTTGTGGTAAATATGAAATTTAAGTGTGACTTTCTCAATTTGTCATGATCATTTTTACCCTTTTATTATGCGTACATGTGCCATACTATTCAGACAAGTTATTTTCTATCAACTTGAAAACTTGTCTTTACATATTCTCCATGGCCTCCTACTGAATCAAACTGTGAGGGCGCTATATAGGTAAACACTTTTATTGCGTATTAAAAGCCAAATCTTGATGATATAAATAATGATTCCTTCCATCCAGGTTGTGGAAACGTGGTGTGACATTGAATAAATATGTATTGACAATGATATATATGATGGGGGTACCTGTGTTGTACGTATGCAGTGTGACATGTCATTAAGATCTAGCATGATTTGATCACTAGTTTGCAATATAAGTATACATTTCTAGAAATACTAGTGCAAGTGAGTTACGGTATTCTATGAAATTGATTAGTGTTCATCTCAGGTTGTTCTTGTTTATTTGCAAAGTGTTTTGGATAGCAATGAAAATCTTACTAATGTCTGTTTCCTCATGTTCACTGCTTTCATCGATGTTAAATCACATTCGATTAAAACATACACAAAATTTAAAATATTGAGAGATCTCGTGAGATCCACATTGCACATTGTATAATTCTTATCTTATAAATCCTTGATATCAACTACCGAGAAAACTATACTGACCTCAACATGAACTGTTTCATTGCAATGTTGATTATACTTTCTTGGTTTTCTTAGATTGAATGCCCTCAGATCATGTAAATCACTCTGTATTTATTGTTGACTCTAATGTTTAACCCAATTTCAATATTCTCAATTTCAAAATATATATCTAATGTTGATACCGATACATCAGACAAAACGTCTATTCAGGTGGGAGGAAAATCTCAATAGAATGCATTTGGGCCAATCAGTATGACAATTTCATAAAGGAGATGGGAAATAATGATGTATATTCCATACTGATTTACATACTATATATTCTTTTTAAAAAATGTACTGTAAAAGCATTAATTAATCACTGGTAAAATTTTGTTGCTGATTAGTAAAATCTGCTAAATTATACCCAAGTGAACATGCAAAATAACAATAGAACTCATTGTTTTCCTGTCAAGTCTGTGAATTAAAACCCAGTGGAATTGCTTGAAGCATTGAAATAGTAAAATTAAATGTCTGTGAAATTTAATTGTTTTACAGTATATTAAGATCTGTGTATAAACAAAATGTACAAATATAAACCTTGTTTGATTTTATTGCTTACAGAGGTGCTGATATATTAGCGATCAATTCCGATGGAAATATGCCGTATGATATTTGTGAAGATGAGGTTACATTAGATTATATTGAATCGGTGATGTCATCAAAAGGTACGGTATATGAGATACAGTACACTTGAGTTTTATGGTTCTTGTAGTTTACACCTCACAGCGTTGAATATTTGAAAATCAGTATTTGCTCTATTTGTTGTCTACATGTATGTTTCAAAAGTTGTGTTTGATATACATGTACAATAAATGGTGTTTGTGTTAAACCAAAATATGGTGTGTTTGTGTATGTACTTAATGAGATATGTATATATAGTTGTATGTATAGTTATGTAGATTGATCCATTTCATCTTGTATAAGTTGTTGTTTTTAGTGTACCAGGTAATCGCTATGTTTATTTTTTAAATTTTTTCTTGTAGACACTTATTTCTACTTTTTGCTGAATAGAGGTGCATGTACATGCCACGTTTAAAAGATTGCTTGGATATTTGTTATGCACATTTATGTTCATGAGCCAGTGTTCATTGGCCATGGAATAAAAGAATGATATACGTTAGTCGATCAGCATAGTATTTTGTGAGTGGTTCATTCGTTAGCTTCTCTGAGTTCAACACCAATGAAGCTTATAGACTGTATCCCTCCAAAATGTAGTAGTAATGTTGTATTCCTTAGAATGTAGTAATGTTGCTTTTTCTTCTTAACCTCCATGCATATACATGTACATC